ACACACACACACACACACAGAGGCCCCTGCCCTCCAGAGAATTCAAAGAGACAAGCTTGGGGGAGCAGGCGTGTGTGTGTGTTTATGTGTGTGTGGGTCTTCTTCAGTCTTTCTCTCTGGATCGCTCATGCTCAAACCACCGGCCACCATGGCCACCTTCTATCTATCTATCTATCTATCTATCTATCTATCTATCTATCTATCTATCTATCTATCTATCTATCTATCTATCTATCTATCTATCTATCTCACACACACACACACACACACACGCCCTTGCCCTCCAGGGAATTCAAAGAGACAAGCTTGGGGGAGCAAGCGTGTGTGTGTGTTTATGTGTGTGGGGCTCTTCTTCCGTCTTTCTCTCTGGATCACTCAGGCTCAAACCACCGGCCACCATGGCCACCTATATATATATATCTCCAAAGAAGAAGCCTTTTGTGTGACAGTTTGGGGTGGGAGGTTGTCCCTGTTCAGAACCTGCCCCTAATACACAAGGGGTCTGCCTTCCATTGCCCCCTCAGGTATTTTGATACCTGAAGCAAACCGTGAGCAGCGGAGCCCCCCTCCCTTTTTCGCCTTCAAGAGATGACAGGGAGAGGAATCCTCCTTCAACTCTGGAAGGGAGGAAAGGCCTCCCGGGTGCCTCAGCACAGCTGGCAGGCCTGGGAAGATTCACACCAGCTCTCTGGTTGTGCCCCTCTGCTTCCCGGAGCCTTACCACCCAGCCCTCCTCCCACCCTCTTCCATTTTGGCTGCCTGGTTCCTGCTTGATCCCAGTTTCCTGCTGGGTCCCTTTTGCCACTCAGGCTAAGGGAGAGGGTCCCTTTCTGGCCCACAGGAAAACTGTGGCTTTTTCATCCTTCCCCCAAACACCAAAGGCCCAGGGATTTGCTCCATCTCTCTCTGGCTCCATAGACCAACGCTTGTCCCATCCACTTCCCGGCCCACCGTTGGCTATTTGGGAGCAAAACTAGGCAAGGGTCAGATAGACAGAATGACTGGGTATGAAACAGGAATTCTTTCCCCCACTGGAACAGGAGTGACAAGCTGGGGGGGCGGGCGGGGAAAGGGTTGCCTTTTTAAAGCCCCACTTTACTCACCCACTCTTGGCACAATGACTTCTGAATGGGCAAAAAGAGGCCAGCAGCAAAGGTGCTGTTCGTTCTGTTTGTGCAGCTGTTTCAACAGCCATGGAAGGAAACTCTGCCCCAAAAGCCCCCCCCCGGCAAGCCCCCCCTCCTGGGATCCTTTCTCGCTGGTGCTGCTTCGTGCGTTTTGAGCCAGGAAAATCAAAATCAAATCTGATTACTCTCGGAGAATTTTCAGGCCATGGAAAGTGGAGGTTTGGGGGGGGGGGAGAGATTGCACTACTCAAGCTCCTAACCACAATGAAGAAGTGACAAGGGGCAAGAGGGGGAAGGAACCGCTTTGTGGGGCAAGAGAGAACGTGCAGAGGGACTTCTCCACCTCCCAGAAGCGTGGACAGAACCACCTGCCAAAATCAACCCCAGCTGAGCAACAACAGCAAGATAATAACGCTAGAAATTGGGCAGGGGGACGAGCGTTCCCCACAACACCCAGAAAAGGTAGACCGCTTGCCCCTGAGCTATCTGTGCATCCACAGCGATGCTTCTCTGCTGCAGCCCTTCTTCAAAAACCCCACCACTTTCCCTGCAGTGACTGGTCGCAGCCAGCTTCTGAACCAGAACCAGCCAGAGCTTCTTGGGGGAGAGGAGGCCAGGTGGGCTGCAGAAGGCCAGCCCCGTCTCGATCCAAAGCTTTGCTCAGGTTGCGCCGCATCCCTGGATACGGAAACAGGTTTGACGGTGCCTTCCAGACACGGGACAAATGTCCCCATGAAGGCAAGAGGGCCGGCCTCCACACGCCTCCCCCAAAGGCAGGATCTTGCAGAGGGATGACCGCAGCAAGCAGCTGACCAGGTGGTGCATAACTCTTTGGCCCACAATCCTTGAGCAGGGACCCACTTCTTAAAAGGAGAATGTCTAGATGTTGTTCCGTTCAAGGGGGTGTGTGTGTGTTCGGTAGCACCCTCTGCACATGTGCAAAGGCCCCTGTTTGTTCCGACTTTCCCAGTTCTTGCATCGCCCTCCCAAAGCCCATTTCTGACTCAGTGAGCACCGGTGCTCTCCGGCCCCGGGCACATGCCGGACCCGGGCGTTTCCACGTCCAGGGTTGGCGGGAGCCACGGAGGCAGAAGGAAAACGGAGCGGCGACAGAGACTCTTAATTCGGCTCAAACTTGGGAGGCTAAAAATAGCCCAGGCGGGGTGCCGCTGTGCATGCCAATGAGGTGGAGAGAACGGGGCCAGCATGCGAATGAGCGCAGGCTGACGCACGCCAGCCGGCTGCGCTGCGGAGTGGGCCAAGGTGCACAGTGACGTTGGGGAGCCAGAATGGCAGGGCCCCCACCGAGAGGAAGGGGAGGGGGTGGATGTCCCAAAGGAAAGTGGGGAGGAATGGAAACCAAGGCCTCCTCCACCTCTGCCCCCTCCAATTCGAACCTACCAACCAAACAAGCACGCGTACAGTACATCTCTCAGCCGGTGGGAGAGAATAGTCCTCGGCAAGCGTTGTGGCATGAACTTCATCAGCCCGGGCCATGTTCACCTTTTGGCCCATGGGAGCCCACACACCAGAGTCAAGCCACGAGAAAGATTCCTAAAGAGACAGAGACCCACAAAACGTTCTTGGCTCACAGAGTGTGCCCCCCCCCAGAGATAGCCATAGGCCACTGAGGGACCCTCCCTTCTCCTCCCCAAATACATCTCTTTCTCTCATGTCTTCAGAGATTCGCCCCTTGTGGATACAGGTTACGGAATCCCTTCGCAGGGAGACCCCACCGATAGACCCGGGGAGGGTCTCACTCTGGGAGGGAGAGAAAATAATGGGGCTCTGGAAGGTTTCTCTGCTCTTGAATGAGAGAGAGGAAGAAGCAGCCAGAGGGGGGGCCCTCTCCCCACCCCTCATAGGCAAAAGGTGCCTATGAGATGCCAGGCACCCTTTCCTTGTCCCAGGGTGTAAAGAGAAACCCACAATCCAGCTCACAAGGGATGGATGGAGGAATGGAGGGTCCGGCCGCCGGGTGGGGAGGGGTGGAAGCAGGATGGAAACAAGGGATGGGACCTTGACTGGGTGGCTGCCAAAGCCACCGCAGGTGCTCTCCGGAAAATGGCCGGCTGAACAAAGAGGCCCAAGGAGGTGGTGGCCAAGCCCACCTTCCCTTCTCGTGACGGGCAGTGCAGACGGGCAAAGGTCCCACGGCCGCTGACCCCAGGGAGTGACCGCAGGAGACCTAAATTGGGCCGTTCTAACCCAGCCGGGGAGGGAGTGTCGCAGAAGCAGGAAAATGTCTCATATCCACAGGCCACGCTCTGTTGCCGCCACGGCCGCCGCCTCATTAAGAGCTCACACCATTAAGGGCCGCAATGCCGGCCGAGCGAGAGCCAAGTTCGCTGGCGGCACGCCACGCCGCACGACTTCCTGACACCCTGAAATAATGTTTATTTTTCCAGAGCTCTTTTCTCGCCGGACCCTGTGCATGGAGGACAGGCTGGGGGGGGGGGCAGGAAGGGGGGGGACTGACGGGTGGCACCATTTAAACATCACACCTTGTGCCAGAGCTGAAAAGCCCCAGACCCGAGGCGACGGCATCTCATGCAGCCTCCAGGGTCTGCCTTGGCATTTAGGCCAGATCCTTACCTTCCCACAGTGGTGGCGGCAGCACAAGCGAAGACCAATTTCAGCCCCTGGTGATGGCAACACCACAGTGAAATGCGAGACTGGCAACAGCAAAGGAGACGTGCCACGGAAAGATCGTGAAAGGCAGGCAGGAGCCACGGAAAGTGGGGAGAGGTGAGGGGGGCTTGCAAAAGGGGCAGGCAGGCCGAGCGGCCCCCAATCTTTAAAGCAGCCTCCCGCCCCTCCGTTGCCACCCACGGCGGGCACCTCTGTCCTTCCTTCCCACACCCTAAAACCTGCCCAGCTGGAGTGCCTTCTGGGCAGCTGGCATTTATATAACCTCTCAGGCTGGGAGTGGAGAAGAAGACACGCATACAATTCCGGATGACGCCCCCCCCCCGAAAGCAACAGCCGCAACACAGAGCTGGGCGGGAACCTCTGCTTCGAGCCCGACACACCCTCCAACTAGGCACTTGCCCACCACCAGCACCGCATGCAAACCCACCCTGGCGCCAGGCTTGCCAGCATCCACCCAGGGCTAGGCAGCTCTGCTCTCTGGCCATCTCCTGGGGGGCTCAAAGAAAGAGTGGAGGGGTGGCCGATGCGTCCGCCAACCGCCCCAGCCCTCAAGCTGGGCAATCATCATGGCAAGAGGGTGGAAGGGGGGCAGGAGGGTGCCCAGATTCTTTCCTCCTCTCGTGAACAAACCCCTTCCTTGTTGACCGGCCGCCCAAGGCAGGTTCTGCACCCTTCGGGAAGCCCGTTTTTTGGGCTTCTTGGACCAGAAACTGCAGGAAAGCCAAACAGGCCGGCCAAAGTGGGTCGGAGGCAGGAGAGCCTCAGGGCTGGCTTCCCTCCCTGCAGTGTTTCAGGGCCACTCCTTATGACCCACAGTCGCCTATCCTCAAATCCGGCACGGCAGGGCATTCGAATGAACACAAAAACTCCCCAGAACTGGCCTGAGCAGAAGCGGCCGCAGGGGAGTGGATTTTCTGCAAGAGGTCTACACATCAGGCACATCAGGACCCCTCACTATTTTGGGGGTGGGGGGGAACCAATGCAACCCAGTTCAAAGCCTGTCCCACACACTGCCGATACCTCTTGGCCTCAAGAAGGGAGACATGGGGGGGGCACAGCCTCCTCACCCGCCTGCCCCTCCACCATTAATCCACCACAGCATCCCGGATCTCTGTCTTTGGCCTGTCACCATGGAAACCATCCCAGCCACAGGCACAAAAGGTCTCGTGTCATCTCTCCACTCCTCGCTGCTCGACAAGGTGGAGCTGATTTCCCCCGTCCCCAGGGCGGGAAGGCCTCAGCCCTTCATCTAGAAAGAGCTGGAAGCTGTTTCTGCCCATCAGGTGCCTCAACAGGCTGCGTGTGTTCTCAAAAACCTGCAGCACCTGTTTACCTGGCTGCTGTTTTTATGCCCTTGGAGACTATATGTCTTTCACTGTCAGTTAGAAGTTGGAACTGGCATAGTGACCCTAATAGGTAAGTGAGATGTTTAAGGGGTGGGTCTTTTTAAAATTCGTTCTCGCCCCTCGCCGCCAGTCAGCGCCATGGCTGAACAGGGATTTGAACCCAGGACTCAGTCTATCCACTATACCACACTATGTTAAACCTACAGGAAACAAAATGGTGAAACAAGAGGGGCCACCTCCTGCCACCCCCATGAGTCAGAAACCCTGGGGCCGGCTGGGGCTGAGGGCCCCCCCTTTCCTCCCTTCCAGCCCCAAAGATCTCAGATCCAGGCCTAGGCCGGCTGGACTCACTCTCCTTGGGGGGCCCGGGGGGGGGCTAACAGCTGCCCCCCCCAGCTCACCTCCACCTTCTCCTTCGGCTTCCCCACCCACCGGGCTTTTGCTAAAGAGAGCGACACTTGCCGCCTTCCTGCGCGTGATTAATTGCCTCTGCTTAATGTGCCATTTCCCAATTAATCCAGTTGGAAGATGAGGGAGCAGATTATGAACTCCCCCTTGCCTGTTCCCCCCGCCGCCTGTGGAGTGGCTGCCAGACTCTTTTTTTGGAGAAGAGGGGGAGGGTCTTCTGGTCCCCCCCCCACCAAGTGGGCTCCTTCCTCCAGCACCAAGAGCCACCCACCCCCCAAAAAAAGAAATGCAGCCTCATCTCTCTGTCATTCCCAAGAGCACCGTGGGATTTCTGATATGGGATTTAATCAGCGTATCATTTGCATGCATTATCCTTTGCCTGGCTGAGCTTTGAGCCTCGGCAGACATGGCGCTAAACCTACAACCCAGTTCAATCGCGTACGGCGCCCATCGCAGGCAAGGGACGAAGGGCGGAAGAGAGACCCTCGCCCCCTTTCCCATGTGCCAGGCAGGCCACCAGGGATACAGGCTCAGGCGTCTTTTTTCCTGCCCCCCCCGTCAACACAACCCACCCCCCAACGGGCTCGGCTGACTGCAGGTAAAGACTGAGCCAAATTCAGGAGACAGCCTCCCGCAAGCACAGCTGTGAACAGATTCGCCCCAAGGCCCGGCGGCCAGCGAGCAGCTGCGGAAATCCACCCTCCGTCTCTGCGCGTTGGCATGTGTGGGCATGGCTCATTTCAAGGGAAACGAGGCTTGGGGGGGGGGAGAGAAACTTCTCTGGATCATCCTAACTGGCCTCTCCGGAGCGAAGGTCCCTGAGCTGGCTTCCCAAGCCGGCTGAGAACTGTGGGCTAAAAAAACATCTGAAGGACCAGAGGAAGTGCAGAAAGGGTTGAGGTCTCGGGCTGCAGGATAAGAGGTTGGGAGTTCGATTCCACACACACACACATGAGCCTCCTTGACAGGGGCTGGACTGGATGATCCTTAGGATCCCTTCCAGCTCTGCAGTTCTAAGATGATGATGATCATCACTATATCCTCCTCCCCACGCCCCCAGACACATACTCATGGGGTGGAGGGCACCAGGCCCCTCAACTAGTCCTCCCCATTGCAACCAGCAGGCCCCAGAAACATCACTGTCTCCCCCAAAAGGCTGGGGCATGAGATGCCCCCTGTCCGTGGGGAGATCTGCTGTGTAGGAAGTCCACGGAGCTTCACGTGGCTTCCTCCCCCGTGGCCAAGCAGAGGCGCCCAAGAGGCCCCCTGCAGGATCAGCCCATTTCAGAAGTTCTCTCCCAGCGATGGTTCCCAAGGACCTTTCCAGGAGCCACGCTGGGGACCCGAGGAGACCCGGCCTGGTGGAGCCGCACCCTGAACCGAGGGAGGTGTGGGCTCACCTTGTCAGGGAGACATGGAGAAAGGGATTTTTTAAAATAAAACAACCGGCATAGAATGGAGCAAACAAGTTGAACCGCCCTGCCCAAGTTTTCAAAACAAACAGCCTGCCCTGTTCGGATGATGACAGCGTCAACAGTCCAGGAAAGCTCCTGGCAGACAAAAAAAACTGGTGAGTCTTTCAGGGGCCTCCAATCTCTTAATATTTTGCCCGGCAGACTGGCAGGTCCCATGAAGCCCAGGCCAGGCGCTGGTCTCTGGCACTTTCTAAATCAGATTCCTAAGGGACGATAGGAGGAAATCGGCTGCAAAGGGGTCCGCCCCCCAACATACACACAGAGGTGCCCCAAAGGAAGCCCGAGAGATCTGCTCTCGGCCTGCGATTGTGGTCCCAGAAGGCGAATCACCCTCGGCTCAAGGATGGCAAAAGGCGCTCAGCTCCTCGTCAAAGGCCCTGCCCGCTCCTAATTCAATCTTATTAGCAGTCAGTTATTGACGATGGAATTCATCTCTGTCCAAATCAGCCCAGAATGGATCAAGGCCCCCCCACAAACACACACACACGCGGCTCTCTGGCACTGCCCTTTCCTGTGCTGGGGGGTGCCCGGGCACATTCTGCTGTCCTGCTCCTGATCAAAAAAAAAGTTACGAGCTCAAGCAGTTTTTCCTGTTTCTGGAGGACAAGGAAAACACCCCCATCGTGTAAAGACACGCTTAACTTGCATTCAAGGCAATGCACCAGAATCCGTCCCCACCCTAAGCTCCCTTCAGAGTTGGCTTCCTGAGCCATTTAAGAAGATTCAGCAGGCTTGGAAACAAGGAGGGAGGGGGATTTTTTTTTGCAGACAGGGAAAGCCACCTGCAAAAGCAGATTTTTTTTTTTAAGCAATGGATTATGAAAATCAACCTTTCAACTGTAGCACAGAGACTTGTTGTGGGGGGGCACAGCTGAGGGGGTCTCTCTCGAGCAAAGAGGCCACTCCAGAGCTGCTGCCCCCCCCAGCGCCAGCCTGCCAAGGCGATGCCAGTCAAATGGCAACCAAGCTCAGTGCCAGCGGCCCTCCACCCGGGCCTTCCGCTCATGGGTTCCTTTTGCCATTCAGGTGAAATAGAAATGCCACCTCTGAAGGAAATGGAAATGGGGGGGAGGCCAAGGGGGCACTATGTAGGCTCTGGGGAGAGACCAGGGTTTGGCAGAAGAGGGGGAGCATTGTGGCAGGGCATGGGGCAGAGAAGAAAGCCCCCCCCAAGGCCAGGCATACAAGCCCTCCCATCTCAGCATCTTGGGGTGGGGTCCAGACAGCCCCCCTGCCCTTTTACCTGCGTGGTCAGCCGAGCCCCACCCCACCCCTCTTGCTCGCCCACTGTGGATCAACAGGAGAGGAGGGGGGTGCCTGGAAGATCTGGGCCCCATGAGGCTCCCCCCTCCTCATAACTCGTCCCCCCCAGCTGGTGGGGGAAGGACTCTTCGCTGGGGCATCAGAAGGGGGGTTTGGGGGTGTCGCCCCCTCTCCTCACGGAGTTCTCAAACGCAATGGCCGAGAAACGCCTGAAAAGGAAACCCATCTTCCCCCCAAACGCTGTGGCGAGTGGTAATGATGGGCTTTGCAGTCCGAGGCTCCCCCCTCCTCATAACTCGTCCCCCCCAGCTGGTGGGGGAAGGACTCTTCGCTGGGGCATCAGAAGGGGGGTTTGGGGGTGTCGCCCCCTCTCCTCACGGAGTTCTCAAACGCAATGGCCGAGAAACGCCTGAAAAGGAAACCCATCTTCCCCCCAAACGCTGTGGCGAGTGGTAATGATGGGCTTTGCAGTCCGAGTCGCACAGAGGCCCATCTCCCGGGGGGCCGCCCTCTTCTC